CAGGATCTCCTACATCCCTTCCAAGTTCTACCACTCTTCTGTTTTATGAAAGAGCTCTAGTGGTGCAGTGGTTAAGAGGTAGGCTGCTAACTAAAAGGTTGACAATTTGAACCCACCCAGCTCCTGTGGGAGAAAGATGGGGCAGTTTCCTTCTGGAAAAATTGCAGCCTTAGAAACTCTATGGGGCAGTTCTACTCTGTCCTACAGGGTCCTTATGAGTTGGAATTGACTTGATGGCATTTCTTTTTTCCTTTTTTATGGGCAGACCACCGACTGCTCTGTCCTGGTAAGTCAGCATTTTTAGTCCATTCCTTTGAAATTGAGATTTTAAGGACCCTAGCTTCAGCTGACTGACTGAAGCATGTCTTGCTGTTATTATGCAGTAATCTTCAGCCACTACTGCTGTGATCTTTTAGCCTTTGCTCCAGCCCATTCTCTTCTCATTGATTCAGCAAATATTTACTGAGTGTCTACTTTGTCTCAGATCTCAGAAAATTCAAACTCACTGTCATGGAGTTGCTTCTGATTTACAGTGACCCCCATTGGGTTTCCAATGCTATAAATCTGTACAGAAGCAGACTGCTCCATCTTTCTTCTGCAGAGTGGCTAGTAGGTTCGAACCACCAACCTTTTGATTAGCAGCCAAATGCCTTAACCACTACACTACCAGAGCTCCCTACCTTGTCTCAGATATAGCCTTTTAATGTGCTGTGACTACTCCACTAGGAGAAATAAATAGGTATACTGTAAAAATGAAAAAAAAAAAAAAAAAATCAACATAAAAGCCTGGAGTTTGTTGCTATAGAAACCCCATGTAAATCTCTACATGTATACTATAATTCTCTATTTCTGAACCTTTTTGGACTTAGTGAAGTAGTGAAGCTAGTTTGAAATGTAGACATCAGTATAGGGCATTGCATAGTTTCTTGTCCAAATTCTGCAAATGTCTTAAATGATTCTTATTACTCTTGTAAGGAGAAACAGTTTTCAAATAGAATAATTTTGTACTGTAAGTCCAAAAGTCCACCTAGAAGTCTGTGTCTCAGAAAATGTCTCACTACCATCGAATTGGACTCAACTTATAGTCACCCCTCCCTGGCTTTCTGAGGCAGTTTCACTACGGAAGTAGATTGCCCAACCTTCCTTCCGAGGAGTGACTGGTGGGTTTGAACCGCCAGCCTTCTGGTGAGCAGTCAAATGCCTTAGGCACTATGCTACCAGAGCTCCTCAGAAAATGTACACATGTTCAGTTATACACAAACTAGATTATTTACTATTCCTATTACCTTCTAGCCTTTTTAAAATCAAGGCCACCATGACAGTTACTAAACTACTGTCTTTCAGCTTCAAACCCACTCTTCAGAACATTTCTGGCTTCCTGTTTGATTCTGTCAGTAGAGGATATTAGAGAGACAACACATAGCTCGGGGAAGAAGGAATTTACTCTTTCTTGTTTGCTTCCTGTGGGTTTCTTGATCCTGTCAGTCTCATGTTAGCAACAGTTCTTCACTCCGGCAGCAGTAGTCCCCGCTCTGTAGCAGCAACTGATTTCAATTTGACAGTTATTGAAAACTTGCAGAACCAATCTCATAGGGCCTCCCTGAGACAAACCAGCACCAACTCACTAGTTCCTGCTCCTCTCATGTATGGTTCCCCAGGTCTGTGGGGTCCATCCTCTGAGCTCAAAATCACCACCAGGCAAGCGATGCCCTGTTCCCAGAAGTCTGAGTTTCAGCTCCAGGGAACCATTTTCCTATCTTCTCAGTTTTAGAAATTATACCTCTTTCTTTGTGATTCCAGTCTTAGGAATGGTGGTCCCTCTGGCTGTTTGTTTTTTCTATGATACTTTAGCATAGTAGTTTTTAAAGTTTAGCATGTATTAGAATTACCAGGAGGGCTTCTTAAAAAGAAACCAAAAACCAAAGCTGTTGCCATTGAGTCAAACTTAACTCATGGTAATTCCATATGTTACAAAGTAGAATTGCTCCATGGGGTTTTCCTGGCTGTAATGTTTATTATGGAAACACATTGTTGTTGTTGTTGTTAGGTGCCGTCGAGTCGTCGAGTCAAGCCGACTCATAGCGACCCCTCCTTGGGTTTCTGAGGCAGTATCACTACGGAAGTAGGATTGCCCAACCTTCCTTCCGAGGAGTGGGTGGTGGGTTTGAACCGCCAGCCGTCTGGTTAGCAGGCAAGTGTCTTAGCCACTATGCTACCAGAGCTCCCATGGAAACACATTGGTAGGCCTCATTTCCATGGTGCTGCTGGATGGATTCAAATTCTGAATTGCCAACCTTTAGGTCAGTAGCTGATTGAAAACTATTTGTACCAGCCATGGGCCTAACAAGTTCCCAAGTGGTGTTAATGATGCTTGTCTGGTCATCCTTTGAAAATCGCTGCCTTAGTGTTCTTTATCTTTTCTGTTCAATTTCTAGTTAACAATTCTTTGTTTTAAATTTTGTTAAAATAATTGGTATAGTTTCTCTATACTTATTAGGCCTAGAATTATATAGCTATAGAAGAAAAACTGTGTCATATAGGTAAAATAATTTGCATTATAATTTATTAAATTTAAGTTATTTTAGGAGTAATAATTCAAATCAATAATTATTTTTTGAACACCTGTTTGCTCATAGCTGGTGCAAGATGGAAAGTTAGTTATATGTTAAAAAAAAAAAAAAATGAAAAAAAGAAAGCCTTCAGGTGTAGGGTTTTAAATAATAACAAGTATTAAATACATTAAGTATGTTTTCTAGGGCAAATGATACCGAAGTTATTCATTCAAAGAGGGAGTACTTTTAAATATCATGTTAAAAAGAGCCACTGAATTTGAGAAAGTTTTAAAGCACTCTTAGAATGCAGGCATTAAATTTAGATTCTTTTAAAAGAAACCGAAGCCTGGTCAATCCATAATCAATCAACAAGCAATTAAAATGATTGTTTTTAAATGGCTACTTAAAGTCTTATTTTCTATTCTTCATATACAATTTAAAATATGTTTAAAGGGAAAAGAAAGCAAAAATATTTGATTTTTGTTTGATATAATGAGAGAAAATAATTTTCAATATGACTTTAAAAAGTTGTCTTTCCCCCTGTAACAGTAATTTATGTTGTACACAGAGTACCATGGGGAGTTGATAAAGTAGTGGGAAAATGAGATTCAATAATGGGGCACTGTTGTTATGTCCATGTTACATGTTTGACTCAGAATTATTATTATTATTTTTTTTATTAGGATTTGGGTGAAGATTTAGAGAGTAAATTCACTTTTCATACAGCAGTTCACATATACTTTATCTCATGTCATTGACCAAAATTTACAATGCAGCAGCTCCCCTTCCCACTTCCTCCCCATAGTTACCTCCTCCCAGTGTCCATCCCTTCATACTCTTCTGTACCCTGAGCTATCTCCCTGTGCATAAGCAGCCCTTCCTTCTCCCATGATTGTTCTCTCCAGGGCGTGTGTCTACTTGAGGTAAATGTTTAACTCAC